ATCTATGAAATACTGCACACGGTCAAGATCCCTTGTGGTGAGTTGTCAGGGGAACAGCGATTAATCCATGTGCACTGCTAATTGTTAGGGCCCATTTTCCACAATTCTTCACACAAACTTCTCTTTCTCTGTGCTGTGTTGTAGATTTGATTCTCATTGCTGAATCATAAAGCCTTGCTACACGTTTTCTCCTTTCAAAATAATCAACTCCTTTTAAGCATGAATATATTTTGGACCAAGTGTTAAACGTAAACGTTCTCTGCATTTCTCACCGCCCAGCTGCTTTTGTTCCACCAGACATTGTGAACTAAAGGCATCATTTGTTTAATTTAATGTATAAAGGAAACTTCATGCCTGCAAGCTCCAGTTGCTAGTGCAATCATGGCAAACAGACTTCCATGTTAATTTGGGTAATAGTACCAAATCACATTGAAATAAATGAAAGGGCAAGAAGTGTTTTATGAATTAAAGCCCTTGTATGGCTGTTAACATTCTCTGTTGCCATTTTATCTCAATATTTGTAAATCCACTTGTTCAAATAAATATATACCAATAAGCCTTTTTTCTAACTTTCTACATGTTTTCACTGAACCTGGATTCCTAGGTGACATGGAAATTAATTTTGTGGTCAGTATTTTGAAAGAATTGTGGTGCAAACAGAGTCTCTGTGTATAAAAAGGAATGCAAACAGAAAACAATATCATTGCAGATAGTCTTATGTTAAAGTTAAAATGAAAGCACATATAAACAATGTGATTCTTAAGAATTGGCGGTTCTGTTTGTTACTACTTTCTTTGTCTTGTTCTGTTGTAATCATCCTATTTCACACAAAAAAGTTTTTATGTGTTGGTGTGCAATGTATATATTTGGTTTATGTTGTATTGTTATCAAATCTTGATGTTTTTCTTTGATTTATAAATAGTTGGTGGTTAGCACTCCCTCACGGAGGCAAAAGGGCGAACTTAAAGGACACACAGCCTTCCGCACAGCCTCCTCATCTTAGTGCACATGTACTTCCACTCCATTCATTTCTATGGGTGAGCTGTTTCCACCGGAAGGCTGCGTTATAGCTCACCTATAGAAAATAAGTGTTGTGTGTGTGCACAAAGGAAAGGAGTTGGCAGGGACAATTTCGGAAGAAGCAGAGTCTGCACAGTGAATGTCACTAAAAAAAGGGTAAAAGGTAATCATTTAACACAGCAGGCTGCACTTGGGAGGAGTTGCGCTGCATTCAGCAGAGTAAGTAAAAAAATAGAACAGAGCTGTGTCTGCGGCTGTAATTTCTGCTCTATTTACTCTTGCACAAATATAAATATCTGTGCTAACGTTTGCATGCGTACAGCATCAATGGACTCTGTTGGTTGCCACCACTGCTCAGGGCCAACATGTAAATAACAACAATGTGTTAGAAACCAGAGGTTTTGCTGGTGGCACTGTTATCCCTGGACCTGAAGCTTGCAGTTTCAGTGTCCACCAATTGCTATCTCCCAGGAGCCAACAGGTCCCAGAAATTAGTCTTCAACTGATGGGTATTTAGCTCCTCCTCAGTAGTCTGACGGTTACCTCAGTGTATGTTAGGATATCAACTGCTGGTCTCCTGCAGTACCAGCAATATCAGATATGTGGAGATACACAGAGAAACCCAAACTTAAATCTAAGTGAGCTACAATTTAATAAGAACACACAAGGGACGTAAACCACAAAATACAGCACCAATGCAAAACCCAGTGAAACCGAAACAGTGAAAATAACTGCTGCCTTACTAACACACTAACTAATTATATACAGAGGACAAAAAAAATCAGATTAAGGCCATGTGGAGGTAACAGTGAACAAAACAGGTCAGGAAGAGGGGCCAGAAGTGGTAGCTGGCACAGGGAATGGGTACAGATAGCAGGTTCAGGTGATAGCAGGAGGCAGGTTAGGAATGGGAGCTGGAATAGGTATTAAGTACAATGGGCAATGGATAGATTACAGGTTCAAGAGCAGCGCATCAGCAAAAACAGGCACACACGTAAAACAATAAGGCATTGTGAGAGAGCATCCACCATCAGGTGAAGACTAATTTATGGGACCTGTTGATTGCAGGGAGACAGGTGCTGGTGGTCATTGGATCTGCACTAGCAGGTGCTACAGTTCCTAACAAAATGTGCTTACACACTATGGAAGTTTACAACAGAATGACGTAAGACCTTCGGTACGTGCAGTACTAGGTTAAAGGGCTAGCCATGTGTTGTGTCTGCTCACCTTCAGCCATTCCTACATTAGAACAGCAGCAATGGCTGTAAACTACGTGGACGTTGCAGAAGCCTCTCTTGCCCAGCTTCCCAAGTTTACAATGGATGTCGCTCTGCCAGAGGCAACACTTCCCATACTCCATAATGGCAGACATGCAGCTTGTAGTTTCTTCACACACAACCGTTAATGGCAGACACAAATGTGTCACCATGCACAAACCTCTGTCCTTACTGAGCTCTGTGCCTTTGTTGCACTTGTACCCAGAGAGATAGTCAAAGTCAAGCTCTGGGAAGCTCACAGTCACTACGCTCTTGCTCCTCCCCACCGGGGACCTGTTGCTGAGGCTGCCTCTAGTCCCTCCTCCTGTGGTGGTGGAAGCCTCAGTGGTGAGGCTTCCTCTTTGTAATTAAGTCCACTTCAAAGGTCTTTCTGTGTGTGAGTAGCAGGGACATCTAGCCAGGACTGAAGGCCTTCAGTCATTCTGTGCATGCACTGCCGCTGCATGAAGGAATTAGGTGGAAAGATGTAAACATCGATAGTGTGTAGTGCCCTTTATTAAACACATGAATATAATATTTACATGTCAACCCTGAGGGCCCATATGGTTCATTTACTCAGAAGGCATATAAATGTTAGCACAAACATTACATGCCTGCAGTATACAGACCACATTTTACACAGGATCTTTGGCCTGAAGTTGAATAAATCAGGAAAGTCAAGGACTTTCTAGCAAACAGAAAGAAATCTCAAATGGCGAATTTAGACTCTTTCGTTGCATTACCACATGCAATTCAACATTAAATAGGCTGCCAACGCAATACAACAAAACCACAAGTTTTTAACAGACCTGCAGAATTTCTTTCTTCGCATGTGCGTCGTGTTATGCAAGCCAGATGCGTTGGGTTGCCATTCAAAATAAATGGCTCTACAACACACATAATAAGTTTTTAATATGTTACAGTGCTCTCTGCTCTTAAGCAGTAGGTTTCATTTGAGATATTTAAAGTGGTTGACAGACCCATTTTAAGACCTCTGGAAAGCTGCTTGACACCGTTTAAATGCTTCATAACTGCTTTGTAAAAGCTTGTTGAAAGTGATACTTTTCAGGCTTGCATTGAAAAGTCAAGATAAAGAATGCTCCTGTGTGACGGTTGTCCTTTTATCATTAACTTTTCTAAAACGATATTAATTCGGTATTCAGTATTCATTTTTTTTTTACTTTACTAGTCTCTCATATTAATACAAATTTATGGTGGTTTGTCGGGCTACATATCTGGCTCTTAGACTCATTTATATATCATATTTTCTCTTAATTAGAAAAGCAATATTTTAATTCAAAGGGCACAGGAAATTGAATTAAGCCCAATGGTTGGGTTGTTATGGGATTTGTTGATTTTCATACCATAGTGACACAAAAGCAGCTTTACTGGTAAGCCTCAGCTTATATGGATTTCAATGTAATATTTAAAAGATCTCCTGTTTTGCTTAATTAACATCTGCAGCCTTATTAATGAGCAAGATTTTTGTACTAACGATTAACCCTTGGTGCTGTTCAGTGTTTTTATGTGCTTTTGCTTGGAGATTTCAGTGTTCTATGGCTACTCCAGGTACACGTGTAAATTTGTCCACAGTTTTTGGCTAGCATTTTCAGTAGTTTGCATGACATAGTATTTCAAAGTATTTTGTGTGCAGTAGTTTTGCTGCCTTGTATGTCTTTTGCTTTTGCTGTTTAGTTTCTCTAGGCTGGCTGCTAACAGAGTTGTAAAGTCCTCTTCAAATAGGTTACAGTCCCTCATAATCTGAGATTAAAAGGTCAGATTCAGCATAAACTTGCCAGTTTTAGGCAGTTTCTCACTGCTGGAGTTCCTTGCTTCGACTTCCCTCTACAACTAAAGCTCTATCCTACAACTGGCAAATGAAAATTCCACCAGAGAGGGCTAGCCTTGTAATGCCTATGGCAATTAGGTGGAGCTGGGAACCTAGGTGGAGCGAAATCACGACTGGAGTCCATACAAGATGTAAAAATCGGGCAGATTCTGCACACTGTCCTGTAGTTTCATTCAGTGGATGTTGATTTGCTGCATTAAATAGGGCATTTAAAATATATTTTCATGATTTAAGGGCATCTGACACACATATTGGAGCACTTGGTCCAGGATACAGATTGCACAGTAATTGATTGATTATTCAAGTAAACTAAAGTATTTATTTTTAATATCAACTGAGAGAGTCAAATGCAAATGCGTTGTATTGCTTCATGGAATAGATAAATAAATGGTCATATACAGTTTGTGTCTTGAATTTATTTTGCGTCTGTAACCTAATGGTCAGGGCCACATTTCTGCATTACAAATATAGGTGACAGGCACACATCAACTTACAAATCAGAATGCTGACTGTCAGTAATGCATTCTGGTGTAAAATAGGTTCTGCTTTCGCTGCCATTGCATTGAGAGGGCCTCAATGTTTCCTTACAGTTCACACTCTGAGCCTGTACATCCAGTTTCAAAGGAAGTTTATATCCGATGCTTCTAATATTCTTAGCTTGTATTGCTTGTGTATGGTATACAGAAACAATTTTTACCCGTATACCAAATTCCTGAGCCATGTTATTCAACTTATTACATTGATCAGATGTTTAAATTCTTTGCATAATCACTGTGTTTAATGCTGCTTGCTATAAATCCTTGTTGCTAGCATATTTTAAAAAGTTAGTATCACATTTTAACTTTTTTTATGTTCTGTGTTTTTTTTTTCTTTAGATCGCCAGCCCTGCTCAGCAATGGCAGCATCAAACACTCAGACGGCTAGTGCCGCTGGACTGAGTAAAGAGTTGGTGGAACTGCAACACCTTATTCAATTTCCAGAAGAGATTGCAACGGTTCTTACTGATCAAGAACAGGATATTTATCGCAAAGTTTTACCCATTGATTACCTTTTTTTCCTAACAAAAGATCTTGGCAGTATTGAATGCGTGACCAATTTTCCTGATCTAAAAACATCTTTGTCTGCATCACTGTTAAAACTGAAAAATGGGGAACACAATACCGTAGAAGAGCTGGTAGCAAGGTTTAATGAGGCAAGTGAAATTATCTCTATTTTCATATATCGGTTTTTGGCTCCATTGTACCAGCTAAACACACAGGTGTGTGTGTTTGTGTGTGTGTGTGTGTGTGTGTGTGTGTAAATTTATTTTTATATATAT